TCCCTGGAAAGTGCCGTACCTCAAAAATGTAAGGACTAGCAACAACATAAATTTGTTGCCCAGTTAAAAAATACTACATGTGGGAAAGTTGCCACAAATATTAAAGTTGTAGGGGTTTTAAGTTCTCCCTTTTATGAGCGCTCCTGAAGATCCCATCAGAGGAGGCAGTTGGGTTCTGTGAGAACTGTGTGTGCCAGAGCTTCACAACTGCACGCAGTTTGTAAATGGCGAGAGTGATAGTGCCAATGCAAATGTAATAGCCCTGGGAGACAGGGTGCCAGCCCTCCCCCCACTCGCACACGGGCAGAAGAAGGAGTAGAAGGCTGAGAGACCGGATGCCAATCCTGCTGTTGGAGAGGCAGTGTTGCCATTCATCCCTCACTTGTGGAAGAGACCCCCAACACCCACCCGCAGAGGTAGTACTTGGCACACACACGGCAAAGTGGCTTCAGAGCTCCAAAGCCACTCTGTCACACCCTCTCCTGTACGCAGGCCGCACAAGGCCCCCTCCTGGGGCTCCAAACCTTTTGACCTGTACCAGGTACTCATAGGGCATGGCATAACATACCTGGGACAGTAATTTTAAGATACGAAACTGTTGTCTAATGCAGTTCCCCAGTGAAAAATAGATGGAATCTTAATCATCAATTGCATGTTTAAAACTCTTGCCCAAGTCCTTTAACATCTCAGTTGTTAGTTACCTGGTTCAGAGGGAAGTCACAAGGGGTACCACCCTGGAGTGCCTCTGACAGCAGTTTGACAGCCCCTCAGGTGTTCAGGGCACTGAGTCCAGGTTTCTGTTTACCTCTGGCCGCACCTCTGCTCCCTGCTCATCCTTCGAAAAGTTTCATTTTATTGTCTGTTTTATTTCAGCATCCCCGTTGTCATCACTTGGTGGCTCCTGCTGAGGGACCCTGGCCATGTGGCTGACCACTGGCCCTCAGAGCAGATCTCCTTGTGCACTGAGGGTGACGGGCATGTTTACTGTCCTCTCTTGCTGTGAAGCCACATCCGATCAATCAACCATGGCAGCAATTATACCCTAAAATACATTACCCCTCTAGAGAGCCTCATCTTTTCTTTTCAGAAAAGAAAAATAGTAAGGGGGGAAAAGGTATAAAAAAAGTAGAAAGCTCTATTCTGGTAAGTAGAGCTTAGATTTAAGGCATTATTATAGAAATATCTTTTCTCTCACATTGTTTACCCATGCAAATTCTTTAAATGCTCTAAGGCATATCCGTCAGAGATAAAAGAGGAATATTAGTGAAAATGAACATTTATTGAATGCTTGTTCCATGCCAGGTTCTGTACTAAGCACTTTCCAAGGGTTGTGTAATGATTTCTCCAGAAAACCCGTTAAGGCAGGTATTGGGTCACTCAGCTAGGTGAGTGGCAGCGCTAGGTTTCATCCTGGCAGCCTGACTGTCCCAGCAGCCTGCTGGGACCACCACAGCCTGCTGTCCCAGCAGCGCCCACCTCAGAGGAGTTGCTGTGGGACTGAATGAGGTAACGTAGAAAGTGCTTTTAGCCAGCCTGGCACAAAGATCCATTCAACGCTGAGATCTGCTCCTAATCAAGAGTTCTGGAAGGGGAGGGACTAAGGGAGCATGAAAGGGAGCTGCTTTCTCGCTGGGTGGGCATCATTGGCTGGAAGAAGGCTGGGTGGTGCTCAAATGTAAGGATGCAAGGGTGCGGCAGGTGCCCACATGAGCCACCATGACGCCGAAGCACAGGCTTCATGGGCTTATGTGTGTATGACCCATCCCAAACTCTGCCTTCAGCCCTTCAGAACATCAGAGGCTTTGCCTTCCTTTTTTGGAAATGGAGTCGGAGATCCCAAACCCCTGCCTTTTGGCCTGGCCAACACTTAATTTGGATTTTCTCTCACTTTTGGCTTACGCCTTTGTAGTTGTTTGTTCTTGTTTAATGTACGTATGCCAATCTGTTCCTTTCAGAAATAGACAGATGATAAAAATGTTCTCAAGTGGGTGGGATTAGAGTTGGGGATTGCAACAGTACCATTTGTGTGTTTAGCTGGAGGTAATCCCAGCCTGCAGTCTACCTGCCGCACACAAAACACTGACATTTCTTAGGATCTTGTGGGGGTTACAGCATTTTTCTTCTCTAACCACATTTCATTGTTCAGCTATAACCTCAAATACACACTTTGGCTCCTCTTCCCCAGGTCTGTTTAGCCAGACTTGAAGAACGCAGTGAATGGAAACAAGCACTCACTTTGAAAGTTGAGTCATGGGGATTCTGCTGTGACCATCAGAATAAAACAGAAGGGCTGGTCTGTATTCTTGGATGGCCTTGAGCATCAGTTTCCTCAGCGTGTCTGTTGGGGATTGGGCACAGGGTGGCGGCGACTGGCTGTTCCAGGTCTGTGGTTGCAAGTGTTGGTAATAGCGGTACCCCAGGATTGCTGTGGGATTATGTATGAGCTGTTTGACTTAGTGTTTCATTGCCATTTCTCCATATTTCAAGATTCTGAAGTTTCATTGGATTCTGACTTCTCTGGAAGTCTGTCTTGAATACGAGGTATTTTTACATTCGATCCTTTGTTTTTAGATCTCAACCAGAAACACAATAAATTCATTTTTTTCTCAGTATAAAAAATTCAGAAGGCAAGGTGGATCTCTGACTGCCTTTCTTCTGGAAGTGATGACAAAGTAGAAATGACAAGTATAGAAATGACAAAGCCAAGACCCAGAGGTGTGACTTACCAGGGATCAGAGGATATGAGAGACAGTATGAAACTCAAACAAACACGCATTGATGCATGTACACATTTTAGCACATGCTTAAAATAAACAAAAATAAGCTGTATTCCTACCTTAAAAGAGAACCTCACACACTGTTTTTACTGTTGTGGTTACTTTCAGCATTGCCAACCTCGCGTGGTGACCGAGTCACATGGCTGGTGTGCAGCCAAGCTATGATCTCTTGCTTTGGGGCATGTTGGGATTTCTTGCTGTGGTTGACAGTGGCCTTCAAGTCTGTGCACGCTATTGCCTATATAAAGATGAAACTTCTCAGTCACCCTTGATATGACCTCCATCCAACAACAAGGGGGTTGTTAATGATGATTGTGTGTGTCCTTCCCCCTCCTTTCCACCCACTGACAGGACCACCCACACTTAGAACACCCAATGCTTGCAGGGCAGTCCTTGAGATTAAACCAAATAGCTGTTGGCAGCTTACCTCTAAAGAGGGAGTGAGGGGTGGAGGCAAGAAACTATCCTGCTCCTCTGGGGTTTTTCATCAGAAAGGCATTTGTGCCTTTTGGTAGGAAAATAATCGTGGGGAAGGTGCCCCAGCCCAGCCAGCAAGCTGGTATTGTATTGTGTGCCATCACTGTGCTAGTCACTGGATACTCAAGGACAAAGAAAACACAGTCCCCTTCCTACATTCTTCCTAAACAGTGCTCTAATAAATTACCACCACGTCTCTTCTCTTTGAAGCCAAGGGTAGGAGTTTATAAGGTCAAAGGAAATGAATGGCAGCCAGGCGGATATAAAGGGCAGTTGTGGATGGAGCTCTGCAGTCTTTGCTGATGTTTTCTTGGTTTGCCTGTGGTTGAAATAATAAAAGAGTGATACTTCTCCATATTGGTAGAATAGCCATAGCCTGTGAAAAAAGCAGATCTGGTGTCCTAATAGTTATGGTTTAAATGGTACACCAAAAATTGCTTAGAAATTTCTCAGTTTTCAGAGACTGAAAGTCTCAGTCTCACTCTATGACAAATAGAAGAGTTTTTCTACTTTACAAAGTAAGGGGTAATTTTATTCTCTATACTCATGGAATCTTAATCAGGATTGGGCCTTAGAGATTGCCCAGCATAACCTGTCATTTTACAAATCAGAAAATGGGACCAAGGGTAAGGGAGTTAAGTGATTTTCTCCAAACACATGGCCGGTTGGGACAAAACTAGGTCCACGCACTGCCCCAGCAAATCTTTACCCCAAGTTCACCCCAAAGGTCACTGAAATTACTTACAAAAAATATTCAGAGGAATATACTGATGATGGGCCCACAATTGGCCTTTAAAGAAATGAGGCACATTTTAGGGTAGAGTCTTTGGAAGGTGACTTCAAGGAGAACAATGAGGCCTGTCAAGTATATGGGTTCAGTGGCCTTCAGACTGATTCCTGGAGCCCCAGGATCTATCACAAATGGACCCTTCCCCACCCCCCACAGAACAGCTCTGCTTTCATTTGTGTTATAGAATGTCCTTCTGAGATTTCTTTTGAAATGAATTAATCTGAAAACTATTATTCTATAAACAGTTCAGCAATGGTACTAAGAATACAATTTTATCATCATTGGAAATAATAGGGTTTGATTTTTTTTGTTTGTATGTTTTTACTTTTAACTCTTACAGACCCAAAAGTATACTTCCCCACTGCCTCCGCCATGGCAAATCTGAGACACCAGGGAGCACTGGGGAGTTAGTTGCCTTCACAGAGGCTTTTCTAGAAAGTTCTCTCCTGTTGAGTTTTCCTCATCCGGCAGGATCTTCAGGCAGATGTCTTCTCCAGATCCTTGGCCGGTGGAAGATCTAAGCAGCCAATGCTCACAGCTCTAGTTTGTTGTGTTATTGCTGTCGGAAGAGTTCTACTTGCTCTCTCATTGTTTACCTTGAATAGTAAATGGAGACATAGCATAGCACCTGTCACATGGTAAACACTGAACAAATACTGTGGAATTAAAACTTCACAACCAAAAGGTATATTTGATTCTGTTTGTTTAAAACCTCATATTCTTGAAACAACCCATCTTACCCTATTAAGGACTGTTAAGAGGGTTAATTTTCATGATGGGGCAGTTTGTTATTTTCTAAGTACATCAGAAGAAAAAGCTTAAAAAAAAAGGGTTTTTTTTTTTTTAATTAATCAGGAAACAGACTTATGGTTAAATCATTACTCTAATAAAGATATTTTGGTACTGAATTATTTTGAATTTGCTAAGTATCTATACCTCTTTGTTCCTTTTTTCAGAATGCTAGAAGATGACCTTAAGCTAAGTAGTGATGAAGAGGAGAATGAACAGGTAAGATTTTCTTTTATGTTACTGTCTTTTGAATGTGACACAGCATTGCTAACTCGGTGGGTATTAACTGAGTCATACCCACTCTAAATTGTGGTGCTCAAGGATGGTGGGTGCCTTCTGATAATTATGAGCTTCCATGCCATTGGGCCAGTCCATTCAACTATCTTAGCCTCAATTTCCCTTAAAACTGTGAAACTGTGATTTTTATGTCATTGAAACCAACAATGGGTACTTACGATGAAGCTAACTAGCATTAGACTTCAGTATAAAATAGGCCCTTTTGTCATTTTCTTTTTCTTTTATTTTTTTGGCAAAGCTCACTGGTCTTCTAGAGATCAAGCGTGTGACCTAACCTCATCAGCATGCAATAGGCAAGCTGTAATATTAAATATTGAGAAACCTTATACAGATATTATTAACATTGAGAAGAAGCAAATGTGGAGGTGAACTTCAATGATGAATAAAAAATAATCATGCTCTGAATAGGCTGTTTGTCTTAGATGATAAATGTGCTTAAAATGTTCTTCCCTGGTGTTGATTTACCAGCTCGAGACATCAGTCAGGGGTTTATAAATACTCTTCTGATCAGTCAGTTAAGGTGGAAAAATATCCACGTAACATTCACTACTTTCACTTCTGCGTTTCAGGAAATGTTTGTATTTTTTAAAGTAAGCTTGAAAACACAAAAGATAGATTTTCCTACACTTCTGTTTCCTTCTTCTTATTATCCATGTGGTATTTTGTTAAATTTGGACAAATGTGGTAGGTATAAAAACAATACAGAGAGTTTTTTTCAGAGGTTATTTTTACATGTGATTTAAGACTGGGTGCAATTGATCTTGAAATAGTGAATTTTTATGAAGGTGTCATGGTGTGCTATACGGGTGATTCAGCTGTCTAACCATGCAAATGGAAATAATGTACAAAGAGAGTGTGCAGAGGTTAAATAAAATTCAAAAGAACATTTCCAGGAAGAGCATCTAAGCAGAATGTGGCTGTGAGGTCACAGAGTTTGCTCACCTTGAAGAAGAAAGTGAGGCACCAAAGAGGGGCCTGGGTGTGAAGTAGAACTTGAATTGAAACTAGAGTGGCAAGTGGAGAAAACCCCAAGTGAAGGAAGGTTAATTGAGCAAGGTGAGCTGCTAGTGTTTGGGTTTTGTAGACAGTGACTACCTTGTTTCTAGTGTGCATACCAGGAGAGTCAGGTATCTGTAACATGGCAATCTTGGCAGAACTGAGAATGACTTCACTCCTAATTTTGGTTCCTCATCTATGTGACTATTACCTAATGATTTCATCTTATCATGTTTTTTTCCCAGCGAGAGTTTCAGATAGGTACATTGTGGATTAAGTAATATCAGATGTGTAGATTATGTATACTTTATATTAGAAAGGGATTCACAGAGTATTGCATTCAGCAAGCTTTCTTAATTTGGAAAGAATTTTCCAGAGTTATTTCCAGGAAATATTTCCACTGGAAACTCGATTTTAAAAAAATTATTTATCAAGGATATACCAGACACATTCTGTAAGGCAGTAGAAAGTTTTCATTGAATCATTTTGCTTTATTAGCTACTCCTTTCTAATCTGTAGCCATTGATAGTATTATATTGTGAATATATAGGTTAGATCATTTATTCTTATATTTGGTGCCTGTGTGTGTACACTTTTTCTCGTTTGCAGTGAAAACGGCTGACAGAATGAATGATTTTTATACAGTAGTATAATTAAGACTCCAGACAGCAGTTTTGTATGTGGTAGTTTAAGTGATTGCTCTAACACTAATTATATTAAGTTATCTTGCTTTGGCCTATAATTATAGCCTGCCCTAATCACAAAATCATAATTTCCATGCTTTAGAGAAGACTAATGATATGGTATTATTTTCTTCCAAGACCAAAATATGATTGTGCCCCTAAAGACTAGAGCCTGTGCACACATGCAACACGCATACACACACTGCATTTCTCTGGCATTGGGAGATAATTAAACATTTAACATAAATGCTCTTGTGAGATGTAATCAGAGTTTGTCCCTTAACCCAAAATCTTTCAAAAATGTATGGTACATTTCCCTGCCTCAATAAATGCAGTATACTAACCTCCTTAGCCTTCTCTTACATGATATCTGGTTGTCCTTGTGAATATTGGTCACTTGCTGTGACAAAGAGATACCCACAAGAGCTTCAACTTGCTATGCCGGTTTACCCTTCCTAAAGTCACCTCAGACTCACATGCATTTGAGTACTCTATCTAATGCTTCCTTTATCCTCATTGCCTCTGTGTTCTCAAAAATGAAGACACAGGCTAGTTTAGTGAGTAAGCCCGGACTGAGCAGCCCTGCTCCCTGGGTTCAAATCTCTGCTAGTGACTCAGTAGCTTTGCAGCCTCAGCCCAGCCCCTAAACTGTTCTCTGCTCCAGGGTCACCATTTGTAAAGTGGGAATTAGTGTTAGATCCCCAAAGCCTGCTGCTTCCTCAGGACTTGTGCTCTACCTGTTATCTTCACATCACCAGATCCACTAAGCTTTTGGTGTTTTGCATTTTAGTCAACTTACAATTGAATATACCATACATAGAGAAAAGTACACATAATCTAAGAATACAATGTGATGAATATTCATAAACCACACAAACCCATGTATTCAGCACCCAGATCAAGATACAGACATGACCAGCCTCTCAGGTCTCCCATGTCCCTGTCCAGTCACCACCCTCCAGAAGAATAAGCACTCCTCTGTTTTTCTAATACCCAGAGGGTAATTTTGCTTCATTTTGAAATTTATATCAACGGAAACATACAGATTCGTTGTATCCGTTGTATCCGTTGTAACAACGGAATCTGTTGTTTCTAGCTTCTTTCACTCAGCATTATGTTTGTGAGATTCATCCATGTTGCATGTACTTGAAATTTGTTCATTTTCATTACTCATATTTCTTCATGTGCGTATAGCCTAATTTACTTACCCGTTCTACTACTGATGGGCATGAAGATATTTGAGGCTATTAAAATAGTGCTGTTGTTAACATTCTTGTACAGGTCTTTTGGTGAGCATATAGGAACATTTTTGTTAGGTCTACACCCAAGAGTAGAAATGCAGGGCCATGCCGTATGTGCGTGCACAAGATGAATTATATCATCCCAAACCATCTTCCAAAGTGGTTTCACCAGTTGGCATTCCCATGAGGAGTATAAGAGAATTGCAGTTGCTCCTCATCCTCACCACGTTTCTCTTTCAGGGTCATGAGCAGTGTTCTGAAGGTGTCTATTTTTGTATTGTCTTTGTCTGGTTTTGAAATAAGGACAGTACTGGCTTATAAAATGAATTGAATAGTGTTCCCTGTACTTGTTTGTTTTTTTTTTTTCCTGAAGAAATTATATAAAAGTAATGCTAATTTTTTTTTAAATGTTTGTCAGATTTCTCCAGTGAAACCACATGGGCCTGGAGATTTTTAACACTTAAAAATTCTGTTTTCTGAATAGTTAAAGAGCTATTTGGACTACTTCTCATTGGGTAGGTTATGGCACTATGTGCTCTTTAAGTAATTGGTTTATCATGTCATTTAAGTTGTCACATTTACATGTAAAAAGTTCTTTTATTGTCCCTTTAATGTCTGGGTCTATAGTGATATCCCATTTTATTCTTGATACTTATCTTATTTTTGTCTTTGTCAGTCTTGCTAGAAGTTTTTCAATGTCATTGATCTTTTCAAAAAAAAGTTTTTCATTTTATTGATATTTGCTGTCAACTTTACTGTTTTCAGTTTCATTGATTTCTTGTCTTCATTATTTCCCTCCTTCTGTTGTTTTGAGTTCATTGTGCTCTTCTTTTTCTAGTTTCTTGAGGGAGCTTAGATTACTGATTTGAGACTTCCTCTTTTATAATATGAGAATTTAACACTATACATTTCCCTCTCAGCACGTTGTTGCTGCATCCCACAGATTTTGATATGTTGTATTTTCATTGTGGCTTCTTTCACTCAGCATTATGTTTGTGAGACTCAACCATGTTGCATGTAATTGAACACTTCAGTTCAGTGAGACTTCCCCTTTGATGCATGAATTGTTTAGAAGTGGGTTGTTTTCATTTCCAAATGTTTGGAGATTTCTTGTAGTCTTACTTTTATTGATTTCTAGTTTGGTTCCACTGTGGTCAAAGAACACATTTGCTGTGATTTCAGTTCTTGTGAATTTACTGAGTATTTTCTATGGCCCAAGATATGGTCTGCATTGGTATATGTTTTATGGGCACTTGAAAGAATGTGTATGCTGCTGCGGTTGGGTGGAATGTTCTATAAATGTCAGTTAGATCCTGTTCGTTGATGCTGTTGTGGAGTTCTTCTAGATCCTTGCTGACTTTCTCTTTAGTTGCTTTATCAGTTGTTGGGAGAGGAGTGTTGACATCTCCAACTATAATTGTGGATTTGTCTATTGCCCCTTCCCATTCTATCAGTTTTTGCTTCACATATTTTACAGCTCTGTTATTTGGTTCATAACATTTAGGATTGCTATGTCTTCTTCGTAGATTGACCTCTTATCATTAGGTAATGTTCCACTCTATCTCTAGTAATTTTCTTTTCTTTGCTCGGAAGTCTGCTTTATCTGACACTGATATAGCCACTGCTGCATTCTTTTGATTAATGTTTCCATAATATAACTTTTTCCATTCTTTTACCTGCAACCCACCTATGTTGTTGTATTTGAAATGAGTTTCTTACAGTGTATTATTATCATATCTTTTATTTTGCCAATCTCTGTCTTTTAATTGATGTATTTAGAACATTTGCATTTAATGTAATTACTGGTATATTATGGCTTAAGTCTATTGCTTTATTTTTTCCTTTTCTGTCACTTTCCTTTTATTTCTGTTTTCATCTTTCCGTTTTCTTTTTACTGACTTCCTATAGGTTTCTTGAACATTCTCCAGAATTCTGTCTTTATTTATCTATAGTATTTTTAGTGTATCTCTTTTTTTTTTTAATTTTTTTTTTCAACGTTTAT